GTAGACACCTGATCATCCAATAGTTCTTCTGAAATCAAGGGTATTTATAGGAAGCTTGTCCACCTTTACTGCAGTAACAGCCTCGACTCCTCTGGAAATGCTTTACACTAGACGTTGGAACGCTGATGTAAGGATTTCATTGCCTTCAGCCACATAAGCATTGGTCAGCTGCTCATGTTGTATGTCCAACTCATCCCAAAGGTGTTTAGGGTGAACTGAAATGAAGACGTGTGACAGTAGTAGGTGCACTTGAGAGCGGACATTGCTAATTAGAAGGAGTGTCTGGATGCTTTTGGACTCACAGAGTACTTATTGGTCAATTTATGTAAATTATTTTTGTGGTTTGAGGGAAAATGCATGTACAGCAAGGCTGTACATAAACATTTTGAGCATGTAGCATGGGTGCTAGGAATGCTGCAAGTCGTATAGCTAAAATTAAAATACTTCAGCACTGAAATAAAAATGATATAGTAGTACTTCAAAAAAGTATTAATCACAATTCATAGAATCCATACAATTAGTCATTTTAACTGTGTCAAAAATGTAGCATGTAAAACATTCTTCTACTGTTCATTTTGTGAATAGCATTTTTGTGCACCATTAAAAGAGCCAAAAACCAAGAATTAACCCACATCATCAGGATTCTGTGTATGGTTGCTGTCATAGATTTGAAAATGGGAAGCAAATAGTTTATTACCTAAAGGTACAAATCAATATTATTTTATTTGTGAGTTTAAACTTGATCAGTTCATTCTAAAAAAAAAAAAGAGATATAGTCTAAAGAAAGGGTTGCCTCAGCCTCTAAATCTAGAGATGTTTTGCCCTTTATAAGCAAGTGAAATCATAGGTGGTTTTACATAGGATGTAACAACTTAATGATAATAGTGACAATAATAATAATAATAAAAATAATAATAAGAATATTAATTGATATGGCACTTTTCATACATTAAAAAAGCAGCTCAAAGTGCTTCACAATACGAAGTAAAAACAACGGAGGAAGTGAAAAAAGTAAAATAAAATAAACAAATAATAAATAGCAGAAAATTAGATATATTAGTAATTACAAAGCACAGGATAAAAGTATGAAAAAGAAACAAATAAAAAAAAAACAATGAAATTCAACAAAATAAATTAAAAATAAAAGTTACAGTAATATTCCAGTAAAAAAAGGAAACATAAAAAACTACTTACACACTAAAGTAAAGAAATATGTTTTTAACTGTTTAAAAACATTGACAGAAGTAGCCTGACAGATGTTTATTGGTAATGTGTTCCAGATCTTTGGTGCATAAAAACAAAATGCTGCCTTTCTGCTCTTTTTATATTTCATCCGTGAAATATGGAGAAGCAGCAACAGATGATCTTAAAGCTCGACTTGGAAATTAATCTATCAGCACTCAGAAATGTATGAAGGTGCTAAACCATTAAGCGATTTAAAAGCTAATAGTAAAATAGCTGATTCTGAAAGAGACAGGCAGCCAGTGCAGTGATGCTAAAAACTGAACAACCTTGATTTGAACTACCTGATGGACTACAACTACCTTAAACATTAGAACTGAACCTGCTTTGCAGTTCACATGACCATGTTTGAGGAGATTTGGGAAGTGGAAAATGTTTTACATTGCACACCATTATTCTAATTGAATATGATCACCATGAGCACTAGTACTTGACAAAATATTTGAATGGCACTGCTGGGTCTGATCCACTCGTACCAGCACAGCACACACCACCACATCAGTGCCTCTGCAGTGCTGATGATGATCCAACTCCCAAACAATGCCAGCTCTGTGGTGGTCCATTGGGGTCCTGACCTTTGATGAATGGGGTAAATGTGGGATAACAAATTACGCAAAGAAACAGATGGTCTGTAATTATAGAGCTACAAAGTGCAGGTACATGATAAGTGGTGTACCTCAGGCAGGTGTACCTAATAAAGTGCTCAATAAGTGTACATTTTATCAGAAGAGCACGGATTACAACCCAGACTTTCCAGACTGTGTGTAACCCCCGCCCGCACATTTAAGATTCAGCAGAAGCCTGGCAGGCCATAAATAAGACCTGAGAATGTGAGAACAAATTTTCCATCGCAGCCGCTTTTTCCACCATATTTATTTATCCATTTATACCAAGAGTAAGAAAAAAAAAAAATCAAGGTCAGTATACAATGGCTGTAAATATTCATTAAAATTCATTGTAATGCAAATCCCCCCTGCAATGGGCGCACTGCACTGACAGGTGCTGACAAACCAAACAATGTGCCGATACAAAAGAGAGGGAAAAAAACAAACAAACAAGCAAAACGGCGGCCCTAATGTGGAATGTGTAAACACCCCTGGACGAAAAAAAAAAAGCCTGGCGCTGAAGCCGACGTTTTCCTCACCCTCAAATCCTCACATCCCGTTCTCGCCCGAAAAATGCCCGAAAGGAAGGGTTCGTCAAGAACTGCCGAGGTCACCGGGGGGCATCGTGATTAATTTATCAAAAGACACAAGTTTGCAGTCCGTCCACTGCACAGCGGTTGTTTTGCGAGGGTATCGGTTAGATGTGTGTTGCTGATTGTGTAGCTGCTGGTAATCTGTCAAAAACTTCAAAGCGGCTAGACGGCTCTGCACCTGATGAGCGTGCAGTCCTGATGTTTATCGTGACCCGCTTTTCAACTCAGGAGCTTTTCAAAAAAACATCAAGGCACGGGGAGGATTAATGGGATAAAACGAGGAAAGAAACCAGACGGGGGATAAATATCGCAAGCAGGAATTCTTTTGGGGTCCCTGGGGGATTCTGCAAGAGGAAAAAAAGAACCTGCAATTGCTCTATGCTGATTCTTCAGTGTATCTTTATTTTCCTCTTGTGTTCTTGAGTCCACGCTCCTCATCAGTATGCCAACTCTGCGGACCACTACAGTCTCATTAGGCACTGTGGCCTGGGCAACATATTTACAACACATCGCATGCAGAGCGTTTTCTTTGCCTTGAAAACTTTTCCTTGTTTAGCTTACTTGCTAGTCAACAAATAGCAGCTTTATTCCAGTTTGAGAGCTAAATCATCAAGATGATTCTGGAGGTATAACCTCAACAATGTCTTCATCTGGTGGACAAAAAGCTGAGTGTTTCAGATATGATCGTAGTCATTTTTAGTAAAACCACATTTCCAAAAAAGTTGGGACGCTGTGCAGAATGTAAATAAAAATAGAATGCAATGATATGCAAATCATTTACCATATTTTTAAAGGAAAATACTACAAAGACAACAAATCAAATGCTGAAACTGAGAAACTTAATTGTTTTTTGAAAAATATATGCCCATTTTGAAATTGATGCCAGCAACATGTTCCAAAAAAGTTGGCACGGGGGCCTGTTTACCACTGTGTTTCATCACCTCTTCTTTTAACAACACTCTGTAAGTGTTTGGGAACTGAGGAGACACTGCTATAGTTTTGAAAGTGAAATGTTTTCCCATTCTTGTTTGATATAGGATTTCAGCTGCTCAACAGTTCAGGGTCCTTTTTATTTTTATTTTTTTTAATAATGCACCAAATATTTTCAGTGGTGACTGCAGGCCAGTTTAGCATCCAGATTCTTTTAATACGGAACAATGCTGTTTAATACATGCAGAATGTGGTTTGTCTTGCTGAAATAATCAAGGCCTTCCCTGAAAAAGACGTCATCTGGATGGCAGCATATGTTGCAAAAACATATATATATCATTCAGCATTAATGGTGCCTTCACAGGTGTGCAGTTCACCCATGCCATGTGCACTAATGCCCCCTATACCATCATGAATATAGACTTTTGAACTGTGCACTAATAACAAGCTGAGTGGTCTTTAGCCCGGAGGACAAAGTGTCTATGATTTCCAAAAAGAATTTCATATGTTGAGTTGTTAGACCACAGGACACTTTTCCGCTTCAGCTCAGTCCATTTTAAATGAGACTGGGCCCAGAGAAGGTGGCAGCATTTCTGGATCCTGTTTATATATGGTTTTTTCTTTGTGTTTTGGAGTTTTAACTTGCATTTGTGGTGGTGAATGAAGTGATGTAGTGATGAATTGTTTTCACAGACAGTGGTTTTCAGAAGTGTTTCTGAGCCCATGCAGTGATTTCCACTACAGAATCAGGTCTGTTTTTAATGCAGTGCTGCCTGAGGGCCCAAAGATCATGTCCAGCAGATACTGTTTTTTGGCCTTGTCCCTTACATACAGAGATTTCTCCAGATTCTCTGAATGTTTTAATGTTATTATGTACCGTAGATGATGAAAAGTAAAAGTTCTTTGCTATTGTACAATGAAATTTGTTATTCTTGAATTGTTGCACTATTTGATCATGCAGTCTTTCACAGAGTCGTGAACCCCTCCTCATCTTTACTTCTGAAAGACTCCGCCTCCCTGAGATGCTCTTTTATACCCAATCATGTTACTGACCCGTTGCCAATAACCACCAGGTGTTTTTTTGGTATTACACAAATTAACCAGCCTTTTGTTGCCCCCGTGTTGTTGGCATCAAATTCAAAATGGGCATATATTTTTCAAAAAACAATAAAATTTCTCAGTTTCAATATTTGACATGTTGACATTTTGCACAGCATCCCAACTTTTTTGGAAATGGGGTTATAAATAGAAACAGAATGCAGTGATGTTAAAATATTTTAAACCTGCTATTTAATTGAAAACGGCATATGTCAAATGTCAAAACTGAAGAATTTAATTTTTTTTTTTTTTTAATTTATGCCCATTTTGAATTTCATTCCAACAAAACGTTTAAAAAAAATTGGAACTTGGCAACAAAGACTGGTTAAGTTATGTAATGCTAAAAAAAACACCTGGTGATTAATTGGCATCAGGTCAGTAACATGACTGGGCATGAAAAGGGCAAATTAAAATGAATCAATGATCAAATGATGATCAATCAAAACTCAGCGATGAAATAATAGTATAAATACAATGCTGGTCTAATCAGTGTAAAAAGGAAATTATGGTCTTCTTATTTATGCCTTTTCAGCTTGTGAGGTAGGCTTCTACAAACCGCTCGCTGGAGACCAGCTGTGTGGGAAATGCCCTCTGCACAGCCACTCAGAGACCCGAGCCGCTCTCACTTGCCCTTGCGATGCCAACTACTACCGTGCGCCCACGGACCCAACGGCTGCCCCTTGTACAAGTGAGTCCTATAACTAACTTATAAGGTCCAGGTCTGGGTTAGTCTTCATTTCTGTTGTTGCCATTTTTTGATCAATTTTTGGCATTGAAACAAACAGAAAATATACCTGTATTATGTATTAGGAGGTTTTAACTCAAACCTGTTAAAACAGAATGTTAACTGAATGTGAATGCAACAAATTACATAACTATATATGCAATTTATTAATTAATTGTTCACGTATAGTTTAAATAATATAGAAATAAGACAGCCTCAGGGTTTATTCTGTGAAATTCTATTCGTTCTTTCAAAAAGATGGCAAGACCAGTGCAGGGTCTCTCATCTTCTTGAAAGCAAATTCAATAATGTTGCTTTGATTTACAAATGTGATAGCCTGGACCACCCTAACCCCCAGTAATTAATCTGTAATTAAATGCTCAATGACCCTACTGTCCTCACAGGACCCCCGTCGGCCCCTGTAAATTTGATTTCATCTGTAAATGGGACCTCCATCAGCCTGGAGTGGGGGTCTCCTTTGGATACTGGCGGCCGGACTGATCTCATCTATGACGTGCAGTGTCAGAGGTGTGTAAATGGTGGTCAGTGTGAGGACTGCAGCTCTGGAGTCGGGGGCACTGGAACTAGTATCAGCGGAGGGGTTGGGGGTGTTGTAGGAGCATTCGGAAGCTCAGGTGGAGGAACAACTGGGAGCGGAGGAGGCATGGTGTCTCGAACAGGTAGGGACAGGAATTTTGACCATTACTGTCATTTAAGTATCCATATTTTTAAATGTATTGTGTTTGAAAACCATGACAAGAAATATATTATTATAAATGAAAAACTGAATTTCACATTGATAAAGTTTAAAAATGTACTTTTCATTGTTCTGGTAATACAGTCCATATCTGCTGTCGGAACAAAACCTTCTATCTCCATTTATGTCGTTTTTCAGTTTTTGACATAATTTGAAAATACCTGTTGCCCTTTACATTGCCTGTAAATTTCATTATGAATGGACTAAAGGAAACGGCCCGAAACTACTTGGAAAAAAGTCTGGTTCCATTGACTTACATTAAAAGTAAAGTAGGATTTTTCCTTCTCCTGTAAAGTTACCATTTTGCAGATGCAAGGTTTTGTTCTGACACCATTTTGAGAACTGTCACTTGTAAAGTTACATTTATTTGCCACTTAGCCTAAGTTAACGTTAGCTAGCTTGACTTTGTTGAAGTAGATGAACTTACCTGATTAAAACAGTATATTATACAAGACACTTATTATGATAGTGTGGCGTTCATCATGCTGCTACACAATCATCATCCTGTTCTGAAAAGGGAGCAGTAGGGGATAAATCTGTGTTTTCCATGAATTAATTTAATAAAACATTTCATAATTCTAACATGCTGTGTCTACTGTTCTCCAGCTAGGACTAAAAGACTGATATTAGCATAATAACATTACATTTATCAGTCCAACAGACTCTAAGATAATTTCTACTCACAAAAACACAAAACACAAAAATACCTGTAGTTACTCAATCATAGGTAGAGTTGAGCAAAATGTATTTAATGTGTTTTCTCTTGGCAGTGTAAAAACAAGAGTGAAAACCACTTGTTTTCTAGTTGCTAGCATGCATGATAATAGTGCCAGCATTTTAGCTTTGAAGCACCTCATTCTCTAGCTGCTAGTATACAAGCTAATAGCACTAGCATCAAAGCTGTAGTGCCAGCATTATAGCTTTGAAGCTAGCTGACATTAACTTGGCAAACTCCTTACAAAGTGAAAATTCACACGTTCACAGTTACTTAGAATCGTGTAGAGTCAAGCGAAATGTACATTTTCTCTTAAGAGTGTAAAAATAAAAGAAAAAAAACAACTCATCCTCTCGCTGCTAGCATGTAAGCTAATAGTGCTAGCATTACAGCTTCTAAACCAGTTAACATAAATGGTGAATAAATGTAACTTTATAAAGTGATGAGTCCAGAAATAGTGATCAACACATCAAAATAACATTGCAGTTTACATGATGGTGCATTTAGCGGTCATATACTAGTGCTTGATGGCTGTATCCTGTCCTGGGACAGTAAACATATCTAAGTCAGAATAATCAATGCAGGAAAGGTTTAACTGAAGTTAAAAAACAACTCAAGCTTGTTTAGAAGTACCTGCTGCTCCGTTATTTCACTCATTATTAGGTCATTTTATATGTTTCAATAAGTGCATTTCTGCTTTGATATATTAAGGGTTTATTATTTGTTTGCCTTATATTGGTAGGGTTGATAGGGCATGAGGGTATCATTTATTGGTCTGCTCGTCTCTGGCGACACTTGCGCATTTTAACAGTGGTGATCAGTCAGTCAGTCAGTCAGTCAGTCAGTGACATGGTAAAGGGCATTGACTTTTGTTTTGAATAAACTGATTGAATTAATGTATTTTGTGATGTCACAAAAACCAACATTAACATTGTTTATCACATAGAGCTGGTATAAGATCCATACCGAGCCACTGAGTTAATTTAGGGCCTTATGTGTTTTAGATGTATATTATTTAATTACTGTTGACCTACAGAATAACTTGGAGTTGATCAATTTGTGCTTCACTACTTTGTAATTGTTTTGTCTGAAATATTTCTGTGTATATACTAGTTCCATTTTGATGTGGCTATTTCGTCCCTTTGGACGAGGTTCAATCTGCATTCTGAGCAGGTTTGGGAAATTGTGCTTCAAAGATTTTGTGTTCTAAATAGCAAAACTGATATATGTTTTTTGAGAAGGGTCTGGCTGCAGTCTATTGGGGCATTGTTTTCAGCAAAGCACTGTAATTCTATCCATCTGCAGGCCGCTGGCTCCAGAGGTGTGGCTCTTGTTATGTCCGGTAAAGACCCATGGCGCCACTACCCCTCTTTCTACTACCTCTACCTTGTCACTAGCCCTGAGAAAAAGAAAACATATTTACCATGTCAGGGATCATTGTCATCACAAAAATAAAAAGAGACAAAAAGTTAGTAGCATGGTAGCTTTGACTAGCTAAAGGCTACATTAAAATCTATACTTATCTTTCTGCAATTATTAATATTTTTATCCAGAGGTCACTGATCTTACATGATCTTTCTTCAAAAACCCAAACTCATCCTTACGGGCTTGTCTCCTAATATTAGCATTAGCTGGCAGGCTGTCATTAGCAAGCTAGCATTACCTGGCTAGCGCAGCAGCTAACAATGAAAATAAAATCCCTTAATAAGATCTAAAATGATAAAAAAAGACTGGACTTGCCTGTCATTTGTACTGTTGTCCCTCATGAGATCATCAAGTCCTTCATCTTGAAGTTTCTCTTAAACTTCGCATTGTGACATGTTCTCATATTTGACTCCTGTGCTCCTTTCTCCCCAGTCACTGAGCAATGCAGCGACAAAGTAGCAGAGCCTGATTGGGCCTCTTGTGTGTATTCGAAGTGCTGATTGGCTCGCAGAATGTGAATAACTCAATTTTGACAAAAATGTCAGCAAGAACCTTATAATTCCAAGGGAACAATTTGGCTTAATGTGAGATCCACAGTCTCTATGGTGATGTAGATAAATAGATACATAGATAGATACATAGATAGATACATAGACAGACAGATAGATAGATAGTAGGGGTTCTGGATAAAATCGATTCTTATATGCATCGCGATGCGGACGTGGACGATTCTGAATCGAAATGTCAAAAATAGATTTTCTAAATTTTAATTTTATAAAGTTATGTTGACGGAACACAAAAGGCGGAACTTGGAAGTGGGAAGTGCAGCGTCCGGACAGTCTGTGGTGGCACATAACAAAAACACTACTGGATGAGTGAGAAATCCCTCTGCATTAAACAGACAGTGATGTGGTTCAGCACAGTTCAGACAGCAGGAGATCAGTACCATCTCTGCAGTACGAAGACTCGTTGTAAAGCCTTATAGCAGTGGATGTCGCAAGCTCTATCAAAAACTGAATCACTTTGTTTTCCAAGTCCATATGCATGATTAAGTGGTCACTATAATAAGTTTGGATATCTGTATATTTGAATAACCACGGCCATCTATATGAACAGGAGCTGCCCCCATTCGGTTTATCCCCCAGCAGACGGGGCTGACGGAGCCATGGGTGAATGTGGTGAATCTGGTGGCTCACGCTAACTATACCTTCCGCATCCTGGTGATGAACGGGGTCACTCACTTGAGCAGTGAGCCACTGCCCTACATCATGGTTAATGTTACCACGAATCAGGCAGGTAGGAGACTCTTACTGCATTTTGACTGCCACCCCATTACTGAATAGCATAGAACTTCACATCTTGCACTTTATTGTTGACGTATTACAACTTCTGCTACCACTTTGGCACTACTTGCATATTTATTTTTGCTATATGTTATGACTGTTTTGACTGTTTTTGTTTTGATCTTTGCCTAAGGTCCTTATAAGAGATCACATACAAAGAATTTTAATTGTACAGAGAAATTTATTTCCCTATGTATGTCTGTCTCTGTATATGACAATAAAGAACCTCACTAGCATTCTGGTTTTGCTATTGGTAGTAATAAAGTAAAGTTGGTTACTTTAGGTCAGAGGATCTTGAAAACTCAATGATCTGCCTCTTATTAATGAATCCATGACTGGAATGTTAGAGTGTCATGCTATTTCCCAATCCTGGTCCCAGAGTATCCTTACACTGCACTTTTTCCTTGGTTTAATACATTCATTTTAAATAAAGGACTTGTTAATTAGCTGTGGAGGTGAGTCATACAGTTTGGCATATGCAGTGCTTGGGTACTCTAGGACCAGGACTGGAAAACATGAGATTAAGCAATACACCAGGCCCGTCATTATTAATTATATTAGTAACTGAGAAATACGTTAGCCTTTTTTATAACTACATGTGATGTCAAGGCCTGTTAGAAATCAGATAATCTGGCATTTGACTGTTTATTGAGTAATCGGTCTTTAAAATAGGCCAAGCAAGAAAAATCAGCTTAATGAACAATAACCAACAAAAACCATACACAGCCTTTCAAAGACTACAACAAATTTATTGGAAAAAGGTGAATCAGGAAGCTTGTAAAAATACTTTATTGGCTGCTAAGTAGTCTTGGCCACATCATCAGAAGTTTAATGTCCAGTGATGCCAGTCACACCACTCACTCTTTCTGGGTGGATAGGATGGCCCTCCCTCTCCCCCTCACTCAGCGTGATGTTAGTCAATGCAGATGTCTGTTAGATGTGTAGGGGAATTGGCAGTTAGCATTCTCCTCCAAGCGTGTTGAGCTGACCTATCTTGTTGCATTTGCAGCAGTTATAAAGGTGCTTTGACTGGCTTTATGTGACTCAGACATAACTAGCAGGTGCAAATGGCAATGAATAAATTGGGGAGAAAAACTGAAAGAAGGTATGTTTCCTTTGATTGATTTATGAAGTTTAATCAAAAAAAAAAAAGAAAAAAGAGACTTTAAACTGTGCCAAGCATAGGGTGCTAGGGTGCTTAGGACTGAGACACACTTTTTCTGGGTAGGTGCATCACTAGACCCAACGTACTGGGGCATTATAATTACAGGGGAAAAATTCAATTTGTAAGTTATTAGATTTCCTGTTTTAACCTTGATTTTTGGGCTAAAATACACAACACACACTATTTATTCATTCGTTCATCATCTAAACACTTATCCTCCCGGGTCGCAGAAGGTGCTGGAGTCTGTCCCAGTGCTCTTTGGGTGGAAGGCAGGAAACACCCTGGACATCACAGGGCAAACACACAGACATACACATTCACACACACTCACCGCTAGGGTCAATTTAGCATCTCCAATTAGCCTGACTGCATGCCTTTAGACTGTAGGAGGAAACCAGAGCACTCTGAGGAAACCCACGCAGACACAGGGAGAACATGCTCCACACAGAAAGGACCCTGGTCGCCCGGCCAAGGAATCAAACCCAGACGCTACCCACTGCCCAAAGAATACATTATGATCATGCAAATTCAACAGACACAACATTTTCAGCTCTCAGTTTCAGGCTGTACGCCAACAGTATGGAGGTAGCAGTAGGTGGACATGGACATATGCAAGTATTTAACAGCATAGATATACTTTATCTACCTACGTCCATCAGCAAGTCAAGCACAGAGCACCCAGAGTCATGCTAATGCTCATGTTAAAGCTTGTAGGCTACCAAAAATGCATATTATGGAAATGTATACAGTGTAATTAAATGTAATACACCAAAAATGTTGTGTTTCATTTTCAAATAAAATGAATCTTTTGCAAGCTCATGTTTCGTTATATTAGCCTAAAGTGATGATGCAAAATGCGATTTAGAAACGCCCCTGGTTCTGGTTAACTCTTCACATGGCTGACCTGAATCATTTTATTATATTTAGTCAAGTGGTCACACACACAGAGAGAACAACTACTTCGCAGTTCTTTCTTTGCAAACAAAAAAAGGTCTTAGTAAGAAATTTGTTTATCAATTACTGCTGTTCCAGCTCCCTCTCAAGTGATGGCTGTCCGTCAGGAGAATGCCAGTATGAACAGCGTCACTCTCATGTGGAATGAACCAGAGCAGCCCAACGGAGTCATACTGGAATATGACATCAAGTACTACGAAAAGGTATGATAACTTTTTTGCCAGCTTTGTGTCTTTTGTTACTTTGTTAGATCATGTTTTTAACATACAAAAGTCAATGACAGTATTGAGAAATCACACTATTAAAGCAGAAGAGTAGATTAAAAAGCAGAGTTAGCTTTTTTTTGCATTAGTGTTAAAAGGTTAAATCAGTGGAGACAACCAGTGTGTTGTTGGTCTATTGAACAGTTTTTTAGGTGTGCTATTTTAGCTGCAGGCCAGCCATGTGAATGCGGCTGTGACTCCTCAGGGGTTAACTCTTGTTGGTCCACACTTGTCACAAAATACAAATGGCCTGAGAGAGCCATTAAATGGAGGGTCAGATTTTATGGGCTAGCTTGGCGGCAGATAGCACAATTTAATCACATGGCTCAATGGCAGCTCCAGTTAATTGAAAGGAAATTACCAACCAGTGGCGGTTTGTAACTGATTTGGTCCGATTATTGAAAGTGACAATGACTGCAAACAGCGTGAGCCGTGCCAAGCGGCAGAGAGAAGTTAATTGCGGAGCGAGCCGGGAGCTTTGCCGGCTAATGGGGCAAAAGGGATCTCAGCTGTGCAGGGGAATTAGCAAGCAGTGGACCGCTCAACAAGACGACTATATAAAACAGTTCAATGAAGTCAGTCGCTACATTTACATGCACACCATTGGTTTAATGTTAGTCGAAGACTGCTAGGCTAACTAAGATACACTCACATAAACAGCACGGTTCTATCGTCATGGTCCGGCTTGGTTTTTGTTCAATTTTGTGGCACTTTCTGCAGTACCACACATGATGACAGCTTAATAATATAACAAAAAGCTAAAATGATTTCATCACAAATAAACATTGTGATCTATTTAGATGGAAAGATAAAAGGGACATTAATATTTTCAAATGGAGAGAAATTCATATGTATGCATCTTGAAGGAGGTTTCATGTTGTAGCTGGATTAGACTATGCTGGTGTGCATGCAGTCAGGACTGAACTAGCCTTTTATGTAACTTGTGTAAAAGTCTTGGCTTGGTCCAGTTTCTTAGACTGAATCTCAGATGGTTCCACCTATAAAGTCCACTGCATAGGTCATGAAAGATGCCTTCTAAACCCACCTAGAGCACTGAATGTTATATTGAGTCATGCAGCTCATGAATAGTGTGAATAGAAAAATAGAAACAGCTTTCTTGTTGACATATAATGCAGTATTTGAGTGTAAAAGTTATTTTGTGACCTACATAGTGCACTGCATAGGGACTAGGGAGCCATTTGATATTGAGCCTTAGACAACGGAAGAACTTAAGATTTATCTGAATGCTATCTGAAATGTACTCCCATCAAAACACATGTAAACTACATGACACTCTCACTAAAAGACACTCTAATTAAAAGACACACCCACAACAGGGCACTCACCATACAAGAACTCCCATTAAAAGACACTCCTGCTGCAAGACACTCCCCCTACAAGACACTCCCATTCAGACACCCCTTCTACAGCGCTATTAAAAATGAGAGGTCAGCTCAATTTAAAATGATATAATAACTGATTACGTGGCTTTTCTTGAGTTGACTCAACTTGAGGACGCAAACTTCTTAGTTGAGTCAAAAGTTCTCTAAAACTTTTAGTTCTGCATCTCAGTGAGGTAAAAAAAAAAAAACTGAACTTGTTTTTATACTAAACTTCCCCACCAGCCAGGACTCCTTCCACCACACAATCCTTCTAGTCATTTTTCCTCTTGGGTAAACACTTACGGATCACTATGGCATCGCTGGGGCTCAAACTCACAACCTCCTGTTGGGGTGAAGGCTTAGTCCACTGAACCACTCAGGAACACATGTAGCAGCTCAGATTTTGTGTCTACAAATGTTTAAAACACTCAAGAAAATATTTGTTCATTTAACTTTAAAGCATGGCACAGTCTCATGTGGCCCAACTGTCTAATAATTCATCCCAACATCAGGAGGTTGTGAGTTTGAATCCCAGCAATACCACAGCTGTCCATATCCAGAAGTCCAAGAGGAAAATATGTCAGATGGGACTGTGTGCTAGACGAAGCGCCAGCTAGTGGAGAAACTGAGTAACCAAACACAAATTCAGGTTTGTTTATCTAACTGAGATGCAGACCTAGAAACAGTAGCTGGGAGAATATTTGACTCAACTGAGAAGTTTGAGTTGTGTGTCCTCAAGTTGAGTCAACTCAAGAAAAACCCTGTAATCAGTTACTATATCATTTAAAGTTGAGCTGACTTCTCATTTTTACAGTGAGGATATTCCCATTAAAAGACAACCCAACTACAAAACACACCTACAACAAGACACTCCCCAACAAGGCGCTACCCAACAAGACACTCCCCAACAAGACAATCCCAAGGACACCCCCACTACAGGACACTCCCCTTAAAAGACATTCCCACTACAGGACGCTCCCTCTACAAGACACTCCAACTACGAGTCACAGCTGCTATAGGACACACCCTCTACAAGACTCCCCTCCTAAAAATACTACCGCTAAACACTCCCACTATAGGACACTCCCTCTACAAGGCACTCCTCCTGTAAGATACTCCCACTTCAGGACACTTCCTCTACAAGACACTCAAACTATAAGTCGCAGCTGCTGTAGGACACACCCTCTACAACACAGTCCTCCTTTAAGATACTCCCACTAAGACACTCCCAGTACAGGACACTCCCTCTACAAGACACTCCTCATGTAAGATACTCCTACTAAGATACTCCTACTACAGGACACTTTCTCTACAAGACACTCCTCCTGTAAGATACTCCTACTAAGATACTCCTACTACAGGACACTCCCTCTACAAGACACTCCCACTACTAGTCACAGCTACTGCAGGACATTCTCACTTCAAGACATATCACTACAACATACTCATCTTGTAAAGCCTCTTTGTAGTTACAACTCTTCCATTAAGCTGGGACTCAAAATATTAATGCTTAGGCTAATGTAATTGTTAACACAGTATTGTTACCTTAAAATCATTTTTTTTTGTGCTAACAAATAAAATCCATTACATTATATTTAAGATATAAGATTTCAGAAGACACTCTATTTCTCTACAATGTACAATTTAACATCATTTCTGCTGCAAAGGGGGACAAACTGCCTATTAATGCCCTTGATTTCAGAAGAAACGTTGGATGACTAAGTGTTTACACATCTTTTTTGGCAAAAAGACAGTCTGACAGTGCCTTTTTTGTGATATTCTTAACTGAGGCCTGTATTAGCATTGTCTCTGCTAGAAGCAGTCATGCTTTACCTTAGCTAATGTCGCTTTGACCCATTTGAAGGTTCATTTAAGGTTCTACAGCGTACAAACCTGAACAACAGCCTCGTTGATCCTCTTGCCCTTTCTACAGGACAAAGAGCAGCAGAGTTACTCCACCTTGAAGTCAAAGACCACCAGTGCTAAAGTTTCCGGCCTCAAGCCTGGCACCAGTTATATCTTCCAGATCCGCGCCAGGACCTCGGCTGGCTGCGGCCGCTTCAGCCCCTCTGTGGAAATCCAGACTGGAAAAGCAGGTGAGAACCGGATGAGGCAGTTCTTCCCTCTACTCTACACTGTCTGAAGCAGTATTACTGGATTTCTTATTATGAAGCACAGCACAGTTATTAGCAGCGTTCTGTATTCTAAAGTCACACCAATTTAGTCACGCAGTAAACATCAATAAGTCATTGTGGTCCATACCGCAAACCGTGGTACAGAAGGGTTTGAGGTGGCCTTCATAGCAGATTGATTCTGCTGTTATTAGAGGGTCACCTTGCACTGAATCCCTATTGCCCACTTATAATCGGCTTGGCTCTTGGTAGGTCACAACACATATTTGATGTAAGTGTCTTTAAAAAAAAACTTAAGCATGGTCTCCTGAGGTTTCGCCGAACGGCAGTGCTGATCGTTTCATCCCTTAAGATAAAGAACAGTTGGCAGTCAAAGAACAGGAGGCTCTCAGTAGAACGAATAGTTTGTTCATTAAAATGAAAATTCAATTAAAATTTACATTTTTTGCCCTTTATCTGCCTCCACTTTTGAAATATGAGGCAATCTGGAAGTTTGGAACTTCATTATCAATGCTTTTCTCAGTCATTATAACTCAGCTATTATGACTACATTCTCAATGTCATTTTCAGTCATTATAACTTAGTTAGAGCTCGGTTGTAACAACTTCATTCTCAAGTCATTTTAACCCCAATATAACTTAGTTATCTTCACTGCATTCTCTATGTCATTCTTAGTCTTTATAACTCAGTTATTATAACTTCATTCTGAATGTTGTTCTCATTCATTATAACTCATTTATAGCTCAGTTGTTATAACTTTATTCTCAAGGTTATTTTCAGTCATCTTAATGTTATTAAAACACAACTATAACTTTTTTTATTATAACTCCCATCTCAATATCATTCTTAGTCACTATGTTAGTATAACTTCATTCTCAATGTTATTTTCAGTCATTGAAACCTAATTACAGCTCATTTATTCTAACCATTTTGAAGTCAAATTAAATCCATTATAACTCAGTTATAACTTCATTATTATAACTGCATTCTCAGTGTCATTCTTAGTCATTATAACTAAGTTATTAGAACTTCATTCTGGGTGTTATTCTTAGTCATTAAAACTCATTATGACTCAGTTATAGCTCACATGTCATAACTTCTCATGTATTTCTCATTTTAGAATAACCTACAGGTCATTACAACATTCTAGACATGTTTAAAATGTCCTAATTTACAGCTTATTACTAATTATTAAAAATCTGAGTTTTTATTATAATTTCAGTCATAAATATGCAACAACTTTAGTTTCATATTCAGATTTTGATTTCAAAATTCTAAAATGGTGATTCCAAACTTCCAAACTATGAGTCTGAACTTTTGATCAGAGGTATTTAATATTTTTTTTACCTTTCTTCTCATATCTCTCTCTTTGCATGGATCTTTCTGTGGCTGCCCTCATCTTCCAGTCCCCTTACGCTACAACACAGTGACCATTATCTGGATCTGCATGGCGTTGGTCACAGGGCTTGTGACCGTTCTGGCCATTGTCATCTGCAGAAAACGGCAAGAGGAGTACTTTGAATTGTCTGCCTTTTCTTTTTCTAATTTATAATGCAATGTAAAAAAAAAACAGAATTGAAAAGCATTTACAGGCCAGATAATTTAGAGATGTACAGTACTTTGCTGAAGTTAGAGACCTGCTCTCATTTATTTAATTTCCAGTCAAACCATCAAGCACAAGTTATTAATTGTGCAGCATCAGGAAACAAAATATAAGAAAACATATACAGAAAGAAAAAAATATACAGAAAACATATATTTAGAAGCCGCAACAGCTAAATATATCAAATCCATTTCCTGCCTTCATCATGGCTTCCATTCTTTTCAGAAGACCTGCCTTCTGTCTTTCAAAGAAATCTACAGGGATGTTTTTCCACACCTCCAAAGTTCAGTCTTAGAAGTTGGTTGCATTTTCTGCTTCTCACAATCCAAGTAATCCCAAACACATTCAGTGATATTGAGGTCTGGACTCTGGGGTGGTCAGTCCATTGTTCTGACAACACCAGCAGCTTTTTAAATTTATTTTTAACTTTGCTTCCCTTTTGTACAAACTCAATTCCAATTGTGGCAGTGTTATATTAGCAATAATGCTAATAAAAACAGAAGGCAATGACTACTAAATTATGTTTGACCTATATTAAATTGAAAACAATCCCAAAAAATCATTTATGTTTTGCTTAATGAACTTCATTGTTTTTTAAAAATATACGCTCATTCAAAATTTGATGCCTGCAGCACCTTCCAAAAATAGTTGAGACAGGATCATGTTTACCACTGTGTAAAATCATCTTTCCTTTTAATAGCATGTTTGGTGATCGATCACATAACGACCTTGTTTACACATGGTCACTTCATGTAACTAGTATCTGAATTGTATCCAGATAAGATTTTAGCCACATGCATTTACAATTAGTAGTCAAACGTGTCCCTGGTTAGTCTGACTGAAATCCAATTGCCGTGTGGGACCAAATATGTAAATCTGCTTGTTACACAGTAACCAAAGCTGTTTAGATAGTTGCTCAAATGTTGCATGGTTCCTGTGAGTCGTCTGCAGTTTGTTTTGCACAGCAGTGTCTGTCCACATTGCTATTAAGCATTTAATTTTGTCCAGTCCCCAACCATGTGCGTCCTCCATGATTATACTCTTCACAGGCACGAATCACATGTCCAGTGGCAAACTGCCTGGGGAGGAGTTTCAGTTGCACTGGGAGGGGTTTTGGTTGTCCAATGGGTCTAGGAGAGATGGATGCATTTACACTGCTATAACATGTGGCTGAAATGCGTCTCAGACCACCTCCTGTGCTTTGAAGGATCTGATTTGTATCTGTTTTGAATGCATCTTGGGTGTGTTTAGACTTGAATTGGCCTTATCCAGATACAATCCTGATACTCAAGATGCATAAAGTGGCCAAGTGTAAATGGGGTCAAACAGATCCAGTTCTGAAAGTAATTTCTTTTGCTATTCTTCTATAATACAAGTCTTCAGCTGGACTACGGTATGGGGGGACTGTTGTCATATTTCGAGCTTAATAAGACACATATTTTTAATAAAAGACAGTTCTGGACAGCAGGCAGGCCAGTCTAGCACCCATATTCGCTGCTGTTGTAACATGTGCAGAATTTGCTTTAGTGTTATCATGTTGAAATAAAAGTGGGTGTTCCTGAAAAAGATGGTGTCTAGAAGGCAGCATATTTTGCACTAAAATGTGTTCAGTCTTACTATTACTAATACTAACTCCCCTTGCCTTGACAGACCCTGGATTTTGAACTTTACACTGGTAACACTCTGGATTGTCTGTTCTTCTTTGGCCTGGAGAACATAATATCCGTTAATTTCATAAAGAATCTGAAAGGTGGACTCATCAGACCACAAAACATGATTCCATTGTACATCTCCAGTTTTAGAAATTCCTGTTCTTTAACTTATTTTCCTTTGACCCTCCTCCCTTATTAAAGTGAATTACCTTATATCTAACCTCCTTAAAAATATCTCCAGCTGTTTTGACTGGGAATGAAGTAAATGAAGGGTGGTCTCTGGCTTAGTTGGTCAAGATTCTAAAGGTTGTGCTATTTGTAGGTAAATCATCAAGTTTTCTCCTCATATGCTAAGTTTAATGCAAATTGTGCATTTCTGCATCGCTATATTAACAATGCAAGTCCTTTAACTTTCTATATCTTCTTAAGTCTGCTTGGAATTACTTTGATTATAGTTAATTATCAGCCACTTCAATGAAAAGAAACGTTTTTTGTTTTTTTCTCAACAGCACTTAATCATTTAATTCATAGGAGAGGGGATAAAGACACTGAGAAGTGTATTTTATCCCCATATGACGCACAAGTATTAAAACATGAAATGACTCAATGTCCTCAGATAACAGAGAACAGAGAACTGTTTCTGAGTTAATTAACTTTTACATTGGGACTATAATTGCTAAACTCTTTCCAAATGATGCAAAGGTTTTCCTGTTGTATAATATATTTATATTTGAATATGAAATATGTAAAATATGAGCAAATGCTGTTATATAAGGCACATGAACTCTTTTCCAGTGTTCTCAAAATTGCTTTCCATATGTTATGTTACAGACATTGTGGCTACAGCAAGGCTTTCCAGGATTCGGATGAGGAAAAGATGCACTACCAGAATGGCCATGGTAGAAAAGACACTGTTCCTTCAAGCTTCAGCTTTCAGTGCTTTTTAGTCTGGGGAAACTATTGCTTTTCAGGGCCAGTATGTAGCAGTGGCTGCTGCCTGGGTGCTTCAGTGATTGTGACTGTGATTGAAAATTGCTTTCATCCGGCAATATGTGACCAAATGCTAATTCTGTTTATTCTAGTATCATTTCCAGAAGCCAGGTTTTATATTGATCCCCACACATACGAGGACCCATGCCAGGCTGTCCATGAGTTTGCCAGAGAAATTGAAGCTTCCAGGATCAAAATTGAGAAAATTATTGGCTCAGGTATATTTGGATTGCACATGGCAATACATACTGGGATTTTAAAAAAAAACTCTATTACCATTTTCAGTCATAAGGATGTGAGTTGATTATTAAGATATTAATTCAATCCACATATATATATATTTATATAGCATTTTTTACAGTATGTGACTCCTGTCTAATCCTCCTGTTTAATTCTCAAAGCACAAACCAAAATTGCACTTACTTCAAAACAAAAGTCTGGGGTAAAAATAGAACCGTGTTACTCCTCTCTGTGGATCAGGAGAGTTTGGGGAAGTTTGTTACGGCCGCATGAAGCTGCCGGGGAAGCGAGACATCCCAGTGGCCCTGAAGACCCTGAAGGCCGGCTACACAGAGAAACAGAGGCGAGATTTCCTGAGCGAGGCCAGCATCATGGCCCAGTTCGACCACCCTAACGTCATCCACCTGGAGGGAGTGGTCACGCGAAGTAAGACGCAACACCTGGCCAAACGTTTAGAATCACTTGATTTACAGTCGTTTGCAGAAGTTTGAGTGTGTTTTTATGAGTGAAAATAAGTTAACACATTCTTTATGGGATAAAATGTAAATATGGCTTTTTTCAGCAAATTTTAGTGCACAGTTTCTGTTTAACATATTAGAATAGCCAGAATGCCATTACTTTCGCACAGGCCACATTTCATTTTATTTTTACTTTTTTGAAAATGTATTAATTAATATGAATTTCTCTTCTCTTCTCTTCTCTTCTCTTCGCCTCGCTTCTCTTCTCTTCTCCTTTTTTTTCTCTTCTCTTCTCTTCTTTTCTCTTCTCTTTTCTCTTCTGTCTTTTTTCTCTTCTCTTCTTTTCTCTTTGCTTCTCTTCTCTTATTTTCTTTTCTCTCCTCTTCTCTTCTTTTCTCTTCTCTTCCCTTCTCTTCTTTTCTTCTGTCTTTATTTTCTCTTCTCTCCTCTCCTCTTCTCTTCTTTTCTCTTCTGTCTTTTTTATTTTCTCTTCTTTTCTCTTTGCTTCTTTTCTTTAATTTCTCTTCTCTTCTCCTGTCTTTTTTTTCTCTTCTCTTCTCCTCTCTTCTCTTTTCTTTTCTTTTCTTCTCTTCTTTGTTCTCTTCTGTTCTCCTCTCTTCTTTTCTCTACTTCTGTCTTTTTTATTGTCTCTTCTTTTCTCTTTGCTTCTCTTCTCTTCTCTTCGCTTCTCCTCTCTTCTCTTTTCTTTTCTTCTCTTCTCAGGTAAGCCAGTAATGATCATTACAGAGTATATGGAGAATGGGTCACTGGATTCATTCTTGAGGGTGTGTTATCTCCTCACTGTCAGCAGCATTTCTCCAGTTTTCCTTAACTCTTTATAAAACTATACATCCAATCAGAAGTTGGCAATTCTGTGGCATCAGTTCTGGAGTGTTAAAATCAATTCTAATTATTTGTAAACAAACTAAAATACTTAGGCTACTTTATAAACTCTAAAAATGCTTTATAAGGCATTATTAGTGGTTTAAAAGGGTCATTGTTCATTATAATACCTTTTAAAGGGGAACTCCACCGATTTTGCAAAATTACTCAATCATTCAATGGTTTAGATGTAAACAAAATCATTCAGAGTGGCGTGGTGTAAAATGTGCCCTTCTAGAGAAATTTACAGAGTCAAAATTTTTCACCATTGTAGTACTCGGAACCAGACGTCTGAAGCATTCATTGGCTCTAAAAGCTACATCCTGTTATGTTATTACACAAAATGGTTATAAATGTGGTGCTAAAAAACATATCTTTTAGAATTTAGCGCTATTTAACCATTATCAGCGTGACATATTAAACCTTATATGACACATATAAGTTGTTTGGTCATTTTGGGTAGCAGTGTCGACATACAGATGTCTGGTTCCTAGTACTACAATGGTGAACAATTCTGACTCTGTAAAAGTCTCTAGAAAGGCATGTTTAAAACCAAACTACTCTGAATGGTTCTGTTTTGCATGATTAAGTAATTTTGCAAAATCTGTGGAGTTCCCCTTTAAATATATAATGACCTGAACATAATTATAAAGCACCTATAATATGTATCAACATTTATAAAAACAATATGAACATTAATTTAAAAGGACATCAGTGAGTGTTTCAGGTAAATGATTGATATTTGGTTATTCTTTGCTATAAGTAAATTATTATCATACTTTACTGTACTGTATACAGTTAGTTCCATCCACGCAAGCTGATTGGTTAAGAAGCGTTCTAACCGTTCTGTTATGGCGAAATAGTTTTTTTCACAAACACTGTATCACTCCGCTGAGACGCCGTTGCTATGCATCAAAGTAAGACAGGAATTATTGCAGAGAGAGTATAATATATCATATAATGAACCAAGTAGTAAAGTAATTTCCCTGAGCAAGAATAGAATAGAAGAAAACAAGCGGTGAGTGTGAAACGAGTTTAATGTGTTGGTCTGTGTGGAGCCGGAGAACGAACTGCCGGCTGTGCAGCGAGTGGGCGGAGTTTATTACTCTGACATAGCAACAAGCTGCTTGTTAAGGAACTATAATTTGGTGAAGGAACTGCAAACATTAAAACATATTAAACGCCGCGTTCACGGCCCAGTTTATTAATTTCTTACTTTATTTATTTACCTGTTGTATAAAAGCAGTAGAACAGGAGGAGTGTGTTATCGCCAATAACATCACGGCTGTGATGATCTACAGCGGCCAAATCACAGCCATGATGTTATTTCGTGATAATGCATTCCCTCTTGTGTTCTATTGCTTAAATAAGCTTTGGATATTTCCAAATTTGAATATTTCCAAGCTCATTCAAAAAACAGATTAAGAATAGCAATTTAAAAACTGTGCAGAGTCTTTACTAATTAAAATTGTAAAAAATAATTATAGTTTTATGTAGTTTTAATTATAGTTTATACACATTTGTTATCTCCAGTAAGAAAATTGCTTTGCTGTTCCTGCAATAATTTATATATCATATCTCCAAAATGGTAACTTTAAGGGAGAAGGACAAAACATACTTTATTTTTAATGTAAGTCAATGGAACCAGACGTTCTTCATTTTGGGCCATTTCTTTTGGTCCATTTATCATGAAATTTACACACAATGTAAAGGACAACAGACAATTTCAAGCTATGTCAAAAACTGAAAGATGGGGATGTGAGGTTTTGGTCTGACAGCAGCGATAAATATAATAACCTAAATTTGAATAACCTAAATACCTATAACCTTATACCCAATGTTATAAAAATAATGTTCTTATAATTGTTAATTCTTATTATAGGTGCTTTATACTTTTTATGCACAGGTTAGAGCTATTTAAAAGTCATTATAATGGATAGTGTTACTAAATATTTATAAGTCACCAAAAATTAATTGTAATATATCATCATGGCCTTATGAGGCATTATTATAGTGCGCACAGAGTATTGTAACCATAGTCAAAGCTGAGGTTTCATGATGCACTGAATATTTTTTTTAAATGCTTAATCAAATTATATTAGAAACGAACATCTTTCCTTTTTTTCCAACAGAGACATGATGGTCAGTTCACCATCATTCAGCTGGTGGGAATCCTCCGAGGGATCGCAGCCGGCATGACTTACCTGTCTGATCTCGGGTATGTCCACCGGGACCTGGCTGCCCGGAACATACTGGTCAACAGCAACCTGGTCTGCAAGGTTTCAGACTTTGGCCTGTCAAGGGTCCTGGAGGACGACCCTGATGCAGCCTACACAACCACTGTGAGTTTCTGCTGTGGGTTTATTACAGGTCTGCACACTTACACTCGACAAGAACAAGTGAAAACAGACTGAAAACATCACACAGCTGAGCCAACAGGCTGCTGCCTTCTCACCACACTACAGCTCAACAGTGTGAAACCAGAGAATTTTAATAAAGTAAAACCGGTTTTGTTGAAGATGTAGTACTGTGCAAAAGTCAGGGACCACCCTTCATTTATTTAATGTCCAGTCAAAACAGCCATTAATTACAAGCTATTCATTTCTCAGGAGATATTTCTGAGGAGATTAGATATAAGATAACACCCTCGCATGAGGAAGGGGAAGTCAAAGGAAAATAAGTAAAAAAAAAAAATTCAAAGAAATTATTAAAGATATAGAGAAAACGGGAGTTCTAACAACTATGAAAGATGACCAGAACTGTCTCAGTCAGATGAACAGAACAGAAAGCTTTCATCTTTGAAAGAGAGGAAGAAATCAAGCTGCTTCAGATCTGAAAACATCGGTTTCTGTCCATCCTTCCACTGTAAGAAGACAACTCAGCGCTATGGGTCTGAATGTGTTTGGGATTACTGGAATCAAGAAGTGTAAGGGCCCAAGTTCAGGGAACTCCAATTCCCAGAAGCCCTCGGGGTGAATAGGCCCAAGCTGGCACACCTGTGGACTCCTCTACTTAAGGCTGTGGCAAACAGTAGCCCTTTGTCACACATTTGTAGAGGGGTGACCGGTATGGTACTTAGCCCAGGTGGGTATTTAAATAAAAAAGAAAAGAAAAGAAAAGAAAAGCAAACAGGTGAAACATAAAGTCAACCTTCCTTTCATAATCATAGAGGAACTGTTTTTTGTCTTTTATTTCACTTTTTCTATCTCAGCCTTTGTTTGAGCATGCTGCTTTCAGCATCCCCTTTGTTTGCCTTTTTCCCACCATTTTTTCCCAATCTTTGAGGTGTTTTTCCCATTTTCACCTGCGCTTCCTGGTGGTACAGCAATTCACACTCCATCGCCTCAATCAATTCATTTAAGACCCTTTCTCACGGGCTTTCCTCTCTGCACTTGGGTCTGCCTCCCAGCCGTCCCGTAACAAGAAGCAGAAAAAGCAACCAACTTCTAAGACTGAACTTTGGAAGTGTGGAAAAATATCCCTGCAGGTTTCTTTGAAACTCAATACAAGTTTCCTGAAAAGAATGTAAACTGTAATATAGACAAACAGTGGACACACTAGATATTAAAAAAAATATTATATTTCATTTTTGAGGATTCAATTTCTGTAATTTTCTGTGAAACATGTTCTTTTTCCAGACTTTGAAAAAATTATTGCTGGCTGTTTTGACTGGAAATTAAACAAATGAAGGGTGGCGCCTGACTTTTGCACAGTACTATACACATATACAATTATTGTAATATTAAACTGGGACTGTACAACAGGATTCAAATAATTTGTAAAAATAGAAATTTCAGATGTATTTAAAATAAACTGTAGATGATTCTAAAGCGACTGATCTATCACATCAATAATGAAGTTTTAATATATAAAAAATATCCACAATGACAGATAAACAAGAGATTGCTATGTATCGTTTAATAAAAAAATCAATTGCATAAATAACGTCTAAAAACATCTTTTTGTCCCTTGTTTATAATATTTCAGTCCACACTACACTGTGAAGTTCTGAATGAAGTAACACTCATTAACATGAAAAATGATCCCACTCTTTTGAGCAGTACAGCGTGTGGAAGTAGATGTGAAGATAATGCTGGTTTGTCCTTCGTTGCGTCTCAGGGTGGAAAGATCCCCATCCGCTGGACGGCTCCAGAGGCCATCGCCTACCGCAAATTCTCCTCATCCAGCGATGTGTGGAGTTACGGGGTGGTGATGTGGGAGGTGATGTCCTATGGAGAGCGGCCGTACTGGAACCTCACCAACAGAGACGTAAGTGCCTCATATAGAGCAAACAAGCAAATGACTTGTTTCTTTATGCATTTAAATGATAAATGCATTCATAAACATGGTATTGGTGCCAGGGTAAACATCATATCTATGAAACATAATTTTTTTAGGAGAAGGAAAAAGTATTTTAATTAATGTATTGTTAAAGTTTTTAATGTAGCTGAAAAAAGCATTACTTTCTATTGTCATTAATTAATCAGATGTAGGTAAAGAGCAGCTAGTTTTTTGATATAATAGCAATGTTTTGTGTGACATTAAAAGCTACAATACTAAAAGTTAGAAACCACCCTTTGCTTATTTAACTTCCAGTCAATACAGAGAAAGTGGGAGTTCTAACAAATATGCAAGACCTGGTAGACACCAAAACTGTCCCCATCAGATAAACAGCAGGTGTTTCTGTCCATCTTTCCACTGTGAGAAGACAACACAGTGCAACGGGTCTGAAAGGATGTGTAGCTGTTAAAAAGCTTTTATTGACAAAATAATAAGAAGCTACTGATCTTCTCAGAACAATGAACTGACCACCCCAGAATCCAGACCTCAACAATCACTGAATGTGGTTGAGGTTATTTGGATTGTAATAAGCAGAAAATGCAACCAACTTCTAAGACTGAACTTTGAAGGTGTGGAAAAAATCCCATGAGCCACTTTGCATGGCCACACCCCAGACAGTGCTGCCCTTGGCGGATGCCACATTATTATTTTTGAAAAAATAATACCCAGATGAGCATTTCACCTCAGATTTTGTTGGTGGCAAGGTCACAATAAAGACGGAAACGATCAGATACAATTAATTTTAGGTTTTACATCAGGAAAAAATACTGTGAATTTAGACACATAGTCGTTTTAAACTGTACATAAAACTATTATTTTAATTAAAAGGTCAACATTGCATTGAGATAACGTAATGAGACAGAACTGGCCAGACGCTTGAGGGTAAAATCAGGAAATGAGGCTATACTAGTTTGAACGTGATCAATGCTCGTGGTCAAAACACAGGTGTAGGTCAAATCCAGAACAAGCTAAATACAAATAGGGACAAACAACAAAGACAGAAAAGGCCAGTTCACAGGCAAGCAATAAACACAGTCTCTACAGCAGAATTAGACTTTTAGGTAAACATAAAATGATCCCCCTTTGCAGTAAAATAAAGCTTTGCTGATCATTCTAACACAGTTTTAACAAACACTGGTGTTAATATAGAACTGCTAATTCACTGACCTTTAACCCTGAAGATCGGTGTGCAGACTGCTGGTCACCATAGCAATGCAGATGAGAATCTGGCCTAGCTAGCAGCTAATGAAAAGGCAAAGAGAAAGATTTAAGATAAACATCAATGATTTGGAGACGAATCGATTTATTTACATTTATAATCACTCCAGCTGGTTTTCTGATACGTTTAATCTGCAACGAAAAACTGACAAACATTAAATACTTGAGAAGCTGAAGTCGCTTCTCATTCACCAGCTTCTTGTTTGAATTTTCCTGTTCCACCTTAAATGGTGCAGCAGTTACATTCTGGTGACTTAGGCACCATTAAAGGTGGACTGGGAAAATTCAAGCAAGATGCTGGCGAATGAGAAGCGACTTCAGCCTCGTAAAAAGTTGAATGTTGAGAGACATTTTACAAGAAAATATACTATTTTTGAGAAAAAGTTTCCTGCTGGAGATGCGAGAAAAGTGGCTATAGCTGAGCTAAAGCTTAAAGCAGAGCAAAGTAAGTCTGTGTTTTCGTTTATATTGTATTTTTTAGCCAACACTAGTACATTAGAACATACAGAGACATATTTACAGCCAAGATGGTAAAATGGACATGAAATGTTGTGGCTCCCAAGGTGGTTTGATTTTTGTTGAAAGGACATTTTGGGTTGCCGACCTCTGAGCTAGACTAAAGCCCAGGCTTATATACTAGCTAAACAGAGCCATATGATAAGCAAGACAGGTGAAGCACATCAGTATTCAGGCAAGGTTGAGTGACAATTGGTTATTGGTGGTGATTCCACAGTCACATGATCTCCCAGGGAGTTCTGGGAAGTGTAGTTCACTAATGAGTCAGAGCTGGAGGGATGTGTGACAGATAATAGGTAAAGCACTGAATTTTAAAGATGAGCACAAAATGTTGTAAAGCGTTCTGGACCTGCTATAGTAAAGCCTCCTTACATTGTTTTATTCCAATAACAAAGCATTCGACAGAGCACAAACCCGTTTGGAGTTAGGACCGACCTGTTTGGAGTTGGCGAGTTTGGAAAATGCAACCAACTTCCAGGACTGAACTTCGGAACTTCAGATAAATATCCATGCAGGAAGCCTTCTACCTAGTAACAAGCTGAAATGATTTGAAGCTCACACTCATGCAGGAACTCTAATACTGAAGCTTTAACTGCTTTATGAAAACAAATATGATCATTTAATTTCACTGTCTGTCAGTCAGACAATGAATCTTCATCTAATAAGAAGATTAAGGAATAATAAAGTTAGACTGTAATATTTTAGGTACCTAGTTTACAGACCGAAACTGAAGCTATGGGTGTCACTGAATATAATTGGATACAGTTATACAAATATTTGGGAAAAAATAATACATTTAAGCAAATTGAATTAATTTTGGAGTTAATATGCTTTTGTTACAACTGCCTGATATTTACACTTTTACTTCTTTATACTTTTCTGTGGGATTCACTGTGTGTTATATAAGGAAATGTTCCAACTGTGCTTCTACATACATTGAGGGAAAATAAGCATTCAGCCTTTCCACTTGTATCGTACTGACAGGAATATGTAAGGTGTTTGTGATGCTCGGTAGCTATTTGTTTTTTGGTGTTGCTTATTAACGCTGTCAGTGAGAACTTTAGGAAGCTTCTTCACCTTCACCATGACTGCCATTTTTTTAGAATGCCACCAGAATGTAGAGCTTGATTCATTTTATTTTTAACGTTACATATATGCTTATGACTTCAGACCATGCCTTCAACATGGTGGTGGTAGTATGAAGGGAGACTTATTGAGGGAGGGGGGAGAACTCTGAGAACTTGGGCTGGAGTTCTGGGCAGCTTCTGCCTGTAGCTAGAAGGCCGGACCAACCGCATAGCTGTAGCAGGACTGATGTAGGACTGAGGAAGAGGGAGGAGATGGGGTGGCGGTGGGGATTGCGAACACTTCGTCACGACAACAGAAGGTGAGGATGGGAATTTATAGGGCATTAGATTAGAAGAAGGAGGGGTTTCAGGTATGTTCCTCCCCCAAACTTCAGTTATAACATAACTACAGTGTATTTCTGAATATCTCAATTACTAAGTATCTAAATATTTTTTCACTATCAGTATGGTTTTTTGGTATATCTTTGTTTATGCTCATGATTACATACTTTTTTGTTTATGTTTATACGTGTAAATTAAAAACAGATTATTTATGTAAATTTGAAGTGGATATATGTATTAGAAGTTTATTAAATAACAAAAACAATAGTCTGATCACCTCACTGTATTTCAACATGAATATTTTTCCAAAAAGATTTTTTCAAAGCTGTTTAAGAACTGAGAGAAAGCCAAGTTAATATAACTTCATTCATCCTTAATAGTCTCCAACTTTGCAATACTAATTGAGTGTAATTATGTAATCGCATAATTAATCATATAGCTTACTGCGTAATGAAATTTGATTGCATTTTATTTTAGATTTGAGTATTCAACTCTGCACTGACAATTTTCTATTTTTTCCATGTCAAAAAATGTCAAAATATTGAAGAATCTTTGCAAAACAAACAAAAAAAGGTCCTTGTTCGTCAAAGTTGTGTACAGTCAGATGTGATTGCAAACTGAGCACAAACAAATTTCACCAACAGTTTTGCTGTTCTTCAGTTTCATCTTTGGCATATCTGTATAACAAACTCATGTCTGCTTTAGGAGTGTGTAAATTTGAGCATAATTGAATAAGAACCTGCCCTGTGATGGACTGGCGACCTGTCCAGGGTCTATCCTGCCTTCCGCCCAATGACAGCTGGGATAGGCTCCAGCACCCCACCGCGACCCAGAAGGATAAGCGGTTTAGATAATGCATGGATGGATGGATGGATGAATAAGAACCTGAAATAAAATGCTTTATTTGCAGTTAACTACTCAAAATCATCATCAGTATAATGTATTAATACCAATAATTCGAATAAAAATAAAAACACCAGTAATGCTAATAATGTGTGCAAATGACAATCCAGCACTTTTTTACATGCACATTGATATAAACAAATGCTGCTGTTATTCCATATTCCATTTAAAGACATTGTACACAGTGCTTTTGTTTTATACTACTGACTCCACCCACAAAATAAACAATACAAAACACAGGTAGTGCAGAAGCATCTCATACACTGCAAAAGTACAGCATTTCATAATCACAATGCACAATCAATTGATAAAAACTTCAATTTTTTTTCTATTTCACTTTTTTTTTCTGTTTGGTCAGTAGGGGGAGCAGTGCACTCACTGCTCGACCTCGCTACAAGCACAGCCATTGGCTCATGAACCGTCATGAATGCTGTCATTTTATTGGCTCCCAACAGAAACA